ATTAGCTCTGGCTCTTTCTTTTGTTGTGAATTCCTCCTTCTAGTCATTTTGTCCAGAGACAAATGGATGAGTGAAAAAACAAAATAAAAATAAAAAATTTCAACCATGACCCAAGGAAAATACACACTGGACAAACCCTAAGAGGTCAGAAACCAAAAAACAACAGAAAAAGAAAAAGAAAAAAGAAAAAAAGGGGGAGGTAAAGAGAGAACATAATCTCTCAGGTGAATAAAGCAGAGTTACCCACTTGGTCCTTGGTATATATTGGTCTGTAAGAAAACACTAAATCTCAAAAGTGTAAAGAAAACAAAACATATATATATATATAATATAAAAAAAATTTAATATTTATTTCTGTTTGGGTTTTTTGTTTGTTTGTTCTCTGGTCTTTTTTCCCTTCTTTGGCTCTTTGGATTATTTGGTTTTTATTTTGTTTGCTTTGTTTTTACTTTACCTACTGGCTTTTTATTTATTTATTGGCTTTTTAGCAATATCTCTCTGTTTTAGGTTTAAGCTTTTGGTCTAGGGATTATAATATTTATTTATAGTTTTAAATATTTTTTATTTATTTTATTTATTTACAGTACATAAAATACAATATTTTATTACAGTTTTACTTATTGTATCATTTTATGTAAAATGTAAAGTCTTCACTATCCTATAAGCCCATTTACAACTAAACTCTTTTATATTACCTTGTCATATATATACCTCTATACATTAGTAACTCCGTAATGATAGCTATAATTTTGGCTTTAAATGGTCATATGACTTGGAAAAGAGTATTTATAGAACCCTACAGCAAGCATCATACTTATTGGTGAAAGACTGAACATACACAAATACGTGTACTCTCATCATAGCTATTCAACATATTCCCAGAAGTTCTAGTCAGTGCAACTCAGGAAGAAAAGGAAATGAAAGGCATAGAGATTGAAAGGTAGAAGAAAAAAGTCCTTATTTGCTGATGACACAATAGTGTTTTGCTTAGAAAATTCTATGGAAGCTAATAAACAAATTAGCAAACAAACAAAAATATCTCCTAGAAAGAATAAATGGGTTCAACAAAGTCACAGAATATTTCATCATAAAAAATCAATTGTATTGCTGTACAGTCAAAATGAAGATGTGAAAACTGAAATTTAAAATACAACACCATTTGCAATTGTTCAAAAATAAATAAAAGTTACAAATATGAGAAATATATACAAACCTTGTTCTCTGAAAATGACAAAATTCTGATGAAAATCATCAAAAAGATGTAAATAGATGGGACCTAATTTGTGATAATGTACTAGAAGTAGAAGATTTGACATGGTAAAGATGTTGATTCTCCAGTTGATATATAGAGTTATCACTATAGGGAGGGAGGGAGGGAGAAAGGGAGGAAGGGAGGGAGGAAGGGAGGGAAGAAGGAAGGGAGGGAGGGAGGAAGGAAAGAAGGAAAAGAAAGAAAGAAAGAAAGAAAGAGAGGGAGAGAGAGAGAGAGAAAGAAAGAAAGAAAGAGAGAGAGAGAAAAAGAAAGAAAGAAAGAAAGAAAGAAAGAAAGAAAGAAAGAAAGAAAGAAAAAGAAAACCTCAACCTAAATCTCAAAGCTTATGCCAAATTTATACCAAAATTAACTCAAAATAGATCATGGATTTCAACATAGAACACAAAACCTTAATACTTTTAGATAAACAAGGTACTATTTTCAGAATCTAGAGCTAAGGCAAAAAATTCTTAGACTTGACACCAGGTCATTTGACATGAATAATGAAAGATAAAGTTGATAAACTTGTCTTCATTAAAATTGAAAGTGCTTACTCTACAAAAGTTCTGTCATGAGGATGAAAGACAAGCTACAGATTGGGAGCAGACATTTGCAAACCACAACCAACAAGGGACAATAGTCTGAAAAATAGAGAGTTCTCAAAACTCAGCCATAAAAAGTAAACAGTTCAACTGGGAAATAGGCCAAGATAGGGAGATACTTCTCACCAAAGAGAATATACGGATGACAAATAAGCCCTTGAAAAGATATATGGCATCATTAATCATTCAAGAAATGTAAATTAAACTGCAATGAAATATTTCATTCAATCAAAATGGCTAAAACTAAAAGAAAAAAAAATAGTAATTATATTACCAAATGCTGGCAAGGGATGTAAAGAAACTGCATCATTAATAATATGGGAATATAAAATTAATTTTTTATAATATAATATACATAATATATAATATAATATAATATAATAATAAAATTAAGTTTTTATAATTTTATAATAATACGGGAATATAAAATGATATAGCGTTCTGGAAAACAATTGCAATTTAAAAAAGAAACCAACATGCAATCTCCGTGAGGTAAAGCAATTGTACTTCTAGGTATTATTTCAGAAAAATGAAAACTTACATTCACACAGAAAGCTATACACAAATATTTGTAGCTCTATTCATGATAGCCTTAAACTGGAAACAACTCAGATCTCCTTCAACAAATAAATGGTTAAACACACTAGGCCATCCATATCATGGAATGCCACTTTGCAATGAAATGGAACAAATTGGGTGGATCACTATGGCATTATGCTGAATGGGAAAAAAAAATCTGAAAAAATCACATACCATATAATTCCACTGATAAAACATTCTCTAAATGAAAAATTATAAATCTGGAAAACAGTATGGTTGTTTGAATTGTTGTCAGGGATTAAGGATGTTGTTGAGGGGGAGGGATTATAAAGAGATAGCATGAAGGAGATTCTTCTGGTAGAATCAAGATATAGAACATCTTGATTGCAGCGGTGTAACACAAATCCACACACACGATAAAATGACATGTAAACACATGCACATGCATTGTACTAGTGGGTATTTCTGGTTTTGTTATTGTACTATAATTATTTAAGATGTAGCTTCTGGGGAGACTGAGTCAAGGGTGCACAGACATCAGATTCCGCTATGCCATCTCTGTAATTACCTATGAGTCTGTACTTACCTCAAAATAAAAGTTTAAAAATGAGATACTAGTGCTTTGTATTCATGAATTGAAAAAATACAGGATCCTTTGTTTTATAAGAAAATAACATTTTTAATTATAGTTTTGGAGGGAAAAAAGGACGTAATGTCCACTATGATTCTGCCCTTGAGCTAAAATGTACATCCTGGTTGCAAGCTGAACACATAATCCTACCTATTGGGACTTAATGGGAATGAGGCAGGTTATGTTCATGGAACATGGGCATGAATGGAAATCTAGCAGTTCTGCTCTAGTTGAGCAAATTCTGATTGTTCTGCCAGCTCTTTTTGAAAAGACAAATAAGAAGGCACAGGTGGATATTTATAATTCAGATTAAATATTTCCTTGATTTTGTTTTTGCAAAAATCTATTTTTAAATGCATATTTATGAGATAATTAAAGTAAGACTGTTGGATAAACAGTTATGTAGAGAGTGATGTCAATTTTAATAATGAACGTGTTTATATACTTATAACTACATAAATGTCTGTTTGTTTTTCACGTTCATATAACACAGTATATATTTTACCTCTCAAAAGTGATTCTGAGCTCATTTCATTTAGTCAACCCAAGTAATGGTACTGATACTAGGGCTTTCTCTACTCTGTCACCATTTCATCTCTAATAGAGTTAATATTCCACTTTTCTTCTTGTGGACTCATCAATGTTAAAATGGAATGGCTTTTTTCCACATGGGGTAATTCAGATTGAAATAAGTGAATTTCACAGCACAGAACACTGTCTTCTTACTGAGCAAGAAATAGGCAATCTATTGGCTGTTGCCAAGGGATCCCTCCAGACAGCAGGACTATAAGCAATTAAACTTCTCTTCCTTAGCAACTTATAATGAATGTGCCATTGAATGAAAAGCTGACAGTCTTGGGGGGAATATAATTCCATATCCCATTTCCTGGTTCTAGGAACAGGTTTGGGGCACATTAGGAAGGCTTTGATGCTGACCTACCTGCTTATGTGTTATCTCCTTGTGCGGTCACATTTACTCCAGATAACACAATCTCCTTCTGTCACCATATTTCCTCCATTCACTTCCTTTCACCAGACTTTTTTCCTGGTCTAAACTGACAGTGGTGTAGCCTGGCTTCTCCTTTATGTTATTGGTTTCTTATTTATAGGAAGACTGCCCTGAGCTCTTCATTTTTATGCTTTGGAAACATAAAGCTTAGCTTTTATATTTCAAAAGCCTTGACTTTCAGGACTAATGTTTCTGTTATGAGTTTCAAAAGTCTGTTTTTCAGGATAAAATAAAATCCAATAATTTCCTCCTTTGTTCTTCTGTTCTGCTATAGCATGTACTGAGAGAGTGGAGATATACAGTCTTAGTTCTCAGTCTGAAGATACCCATAGGTTTGATACAGGAGATGTGGGAGAGAACTGATTACTCTACTGAACATTCAGAATGCCATTCCTTTACCTGTGTAGAGGATAAAACTATAAAGAATTACATGAAAATATTAACATGGGTTGTCTTTCTATGGTGAGAATTCAGGACAATTTCATTTGTACTTTTCCATGTTTTCTAATTTTACTATTATTAACACATATTGCCTTTATCTAAATATATACCTGTTGGGTAAATATGTGTTAAGATATATGTAGTGTATGAATATATGCCTTATACATCAAATATATTTTGTATCAATATATATATGTATATATATATATATATATATATATATATATATATATATATACATATTTTTTTTACCTAGGTAATATTTTCTCTAAGTTCTTCTCCAATTGTTGCCTTGGCTAAAACTGCCAGAATCTTTTTCAGTCTCTTCTAGGGTTTACCAAATCATGAAATCTGGGTAGAATGCCTTTTCATGTGAGTGGAATTGATTCTGCTTATGTGGTTTTAGTATGAGAGGAATTTGCTGAGATTTGGAAGTAACCTGGAGATTTCTCTCTGCCATAATTGGTTTTATTTGCTGTCTTCATAAATGAGTAAATCTCACTACGTCTCTGCCATCTTTTCCAGGGAGTTCCTAGCCTCAAATTACAGTGAAACCTACTACTCCGCAAGAGGGGAGGTGATCACCAGCTACCCTCCCACCATGGTATCTTACAGAACCTTCCTATGTCTCTTTTCCGAAATTTCCTCATGTGATTTTAAAACCCAATCTAGCTTTATAAGAAGCTTCAGAAAATGTTATGTCAGAAATGAATCTTATATTGAGTACTGCAGCTGAATTATCCTGGAATAGAAAACATGCCCCTCCAAACTGTAAAGGAAGCTGATTACTGCCTAACAAGCAAATCAATGACTGTTAATGTATTTTTCTTTACTAAACTGGCTTCTATGTACCCAAAATAGTATTAAGCTTGGAGGAAGGGGAAGGCAGCATACAAAAGCAGTATAAGACACCCTGATGAGATTGTCATCAAGCTAAATGGATAAAACCTAAAGACATGAAATAGTTTTAAAACCTCCATCTAACTGACCCTTATGTGAGTCATATTCCCTGGCCTAGGACTTCTGAGGCACCAACATGAAGTCTTTTCAATTTCCAAGTGAATTTTTGTTCAATTATCATTAATATTATTCCAGTGGATACAGGTTTTACTTTTACAGTTGTCTTTCCGTTTCCAAAACATGCCCTCTGTATCCTTCTAACCAAAGATGACATTATCCTTTTATCAAAAGTATACTTTCTGAAACTTATTTCCTCTACATAAGGCATGAGGCAGCTATGAAAAGTAATCCTACAATCTTTGTAAAATACAAATGGAAGAAAACTGAATAACGTTCTTTTATGAGAGGGGTCGTTCTTGGCCTGTGAGGGTCTGAGATTGCATGGGAAGTGCCACACATAGGCAGGATTTGAATGGATGGATATAATGGAAAAGATGATCGCCTGACAGAACCTCTGTAGGCAGAGCATGAAGTAAGGAGTGACAAGGCTACCAACTTGACTGAAACACATCCACAGGAGAGAAGGGCTTGAGGAGGCCTGGTTGGGGAGTGAGACCTAAATCTGGCAATCATCAAAAACATTGGCATGATCTCATAGGCAAATGGAGGAAAACTATAATAACAACCCAAGAATGGTAGTTTGGTAGGAATTTTAGGGTGGATTAAAGGAGAAATATTTATAGGGAAAATGGTCACACTTCTGAGGCTGGATTCGTAAACTAATAAGCTGCTAAATTTGTGAGGGAAGAATACATATACTGTTTAACACAATGTAATCATGCAATTAAAAGGATTCTAAAAGAGTTTCAAAATTTTACAAATGACAGGATGCAATGAATGAAAACATGAATGAGTATGTATACAAATTGTGACAATGAAATGCTAATATATTGTGAACATGAAATATGTATATGTTAATATTTATGTAATATGAGTATATGTATTTATATCAATAGCCTCTTCATCTATTTTAGGATCACTGCTTTTACCAAGGATCCATCATACATGAATTTGATTCTGCTGCCAGTATCAGCACGTGTAATGGTCTGAGGTATTACACAAGTATCTCTTTTGTTTTTCAGTCTCCTTAATGGATTTTCAGAGGCATTTTATACTCATCTTTCCAACAACCCTATAAATAAAAAAATTAATGGGAAAAAGCTACTTTTTTTTTTCGCCCTGAGTATCTATTCTAGCCATTGTTTATATTCATTTTTGACAAAAAGATGTCTAATGCACAGCTGTAAGCAAGACAAGTTTTTCAGTATATGATCAAGGGATTCAGAGTTACAAGACTGCTGGGAATCATCTAGTCTGTCCTCTCATGTTAGAGACACTGAAATCAGAGACTTGCCTCTGAACATCCAATTTGCCGGTGACAGAATTTAAACCAAAAACCAGGCTTCTTGGCTTCTAGTCCTGTGAATTCTCACCACACATTTCATACCTTTTTAATAATCAGGAGTTAGAGTCCTTAGAAATTGAAGTTAGAAGTAAAGCTTATTTTAGTTCTCTGTAGATCTTGGACTTAAGAGTAAAGGAGGAAATGTAAGGTAGAGGATAGAAAAACAAGAAACTTCCACCTTCATGTATGTACACTTTACGTGAATAGATCCCAATATATTCAAGAATAAGAAAACTTTAATGGCAAAATTTCCAGATAATAGTTATTTTACTGTCATATATTTTCTCTACAACTAATGCATGATGGACATAAAAAATTCACAAAATGTTTGCTAGACCTCTGAGACTTCAAAGTAAAGACTGAACTGTTAAGTTTCTGAAAATCTAGATGAGTTGACTCTTACAAAATTTATTAATTAAAGGCCTGACTGCATGCTCATGAGGACTTGGTCTCTATATAGCTTCCATTCATAAGTAGGCAAGTCAATAAAATGGAAAAGAAGAATATTGTGAGAAATATAGAGGTAAAATTGAATAGATTTTGAACATATATCACATTCTCATTTTCCATAGGGGATTCTTCAGGGTGTATGACCAAAGATACCTCATTGAACCAGTGAAATATTCAGATGAGGGACAACATTTGGTGTTCAGGTATAATCCAAGGATGCAGTATGCTGCCAATTATTCTTGTACAGAATTCAATTTTACCAGGACAAATGATTCAAAGGATGATATTAAAATCATGGAAGACCTCAAAATAAAAGTAAGTGCTTTATTTTTAAATCACCTTAATGCCAGGGAAAATGTCTATTTCTTTTTTTTTATTTCAAAACAAAAAGATGAGCCCAATTAATGAAGAATATGTGTTACCTGAGTCTGACTCTTGTTTGAAAACTAAAATGTCAAACATTTTTTTTTTTAATCAACATAGAAAATGTTCATTCCCAGGGCACCTGGGTGGCTCAGTTGGTTGAGTATCTGCCTTCAGATCAGGTCATGATCCCAGAGTCCTGGCATCGACCCCTGCATCAGGCTCCCTGCTCAAGAGGGAGTCTTCCTTTTCCTCTCCCTCTGTCCCTTCCCCTGCTTGTGCTCATGCCTCTCTCTCAAATAAGTAAATAAAATCTTAAAAAAAATGAAAAAGAAAATATTCATTTTCTACAGTAAATCTAAGTTTGTCCCATCAATTTTAAGGAAAGGGAATATTTACAACTGTATGTATAGATTTATAGCATTAGGGTTATAAGTTGTTGGAAAGGATGAAATTTACAATCTCTCGAAAACTCTCCTTTCCTTCATCTTCACTGCCTTTTTTTTTTTTTTTTTTTTTTGGTTGGGGAAGAGGTTGATGATAAGTCAGGGTCTCCTCCTTTCATCAGTCCAAATATTCTAATTGTTAATTATTAAAGATAAGTAAGTAATAGCAACTTCAATTTCTGGTGGGATGACTGCACAATGAGAGTCCTCTGTGTTTTAGCCTTTCCTGTACAACTAGTTCATATCACCTCAAATCCCCACTAGGTTTTAGCCTTTAAGATCCATGAATACCCATATTCACATATCCATGGTCCAGATTGTGTTGGAAAATTACTAGGTCCTTAACAATTGTTTCTGATTGATTCAATCAACTAATATATAATTATTTAGTACACACACAAAACAACTTAGCTAAATCTTTATACAATATGCCTCTGGTTTATACTCAAGATAATATGCATGCACCTCAATGCATAACACTGAGTTGAAAACAGAATTTTCCAGTATTGGTTATTTATAAAACAAAGGTCTAAAATTAGCAACTTTTATACATTTCTTTGGAAATGATACTACTGCAAAGTATGAGATTGGGAGATAGGAGAGGAGTAGAAGGAATAAAGTCAGTCCTATTAACCAGTCAGTCCTATGTTTTGCTTGCTGCTATTGATAAGTCCTTTTTATATGAGCTTACTTAATATTTACTTTATATATGAAAAAAATTAAAAATTAAAAACTATATTCATTATTCCTTATTTATAACTATTCATTTGCTTAGAGTATAACTAACACACATTCTTACATTAGTCTCAAGTATACAGAATAATGATTCAACATCTCCATACATCATGCACACTCAAGTGTAGCTACCATCTGTCACCATACAATGCTACCACAATGCCACTGACTATATTTCCTATGCTATGCCTTTTATTCCATGACTTATTTATTCCATAACTAGAAGCCTGTGTCTTCCACTCCCCTTCACCCATTTTGCCCATCCTAACACCCCCCGCCTGGTAACCACCAGTTTGTTCTCTGTATTTATAGGTCTGATTCTAGTTTTTGTTTGTTTATTCATTTGTTTTGAATTTTAGATTCCATATGTGTGTGAGATCATATACTATTTGTCTTCCAAGTCTGACTTATTTCACTTACCACAACACCTTCCAGATCTACTCATACTGTTGCAAATGACAAGATTCCATCCTTTTATATGGCTGCATAATATTCGTGTGTGTGTGTGTGTGTGTGTGTGTGTGTGTACTATATTTTCTTTATCCTTTTATCTACCAATAGACACTTAGGTTGCTCCCTTATCTTGGTTATTATAAATAATGCTGCAATAAATATAACTTTTATTTTACCTGAAAGACTAAACAAAAAAGGGAAGGATATTCAAATATAGAATATTGTTGCAGGTTTACTAAAACCTGATACACAGGTGCATATGTTTTAAGAATATATTGAGTTTTACTTAGATAAATTCCTGGAATTATTAGTTATACTTCTGTACCTCACCTTTCCATATCAATTATATTAACATTTCTTACCATAAAAATTTTAACTTAAAACATTAAAATGAGGAACATTAACCATATTTCATTAAATTTTTCATAAATTTCCAGAATGTCCATAAAGAAAAGTATGTTGAACTGTTCATTGTTGCTGATTATAATGTGGTAAGTTTTCAGATGAACATTTCTTTTTCATTCATGCTTATAAAACTAGTTGTGATTCTAAATAGTTGTGATTCTTAAAAAGAGGAAAAAAGTATTTTAATTAGAATTCTATTTGGGCTCAATGTTGTTTTTAGCTTCCCAAACAGATTTATATAAGAGGTGATAAGGTCCTTTGGCAGTATAGCTGACTAAACCAAAATAGAATTCTCCTCCCTATTATGAACATGTGGAAATGATGAGCAACGTATACAAAATTGAAAATATGTGTACAATCTGTAGTTTACCTGAGGAAAACACACACACACACACACACACACACACACACACTCACACGCACACGCACATACAGGAAATCTCCAAGTCCTACAAAGGAGAAGAGAACCTTTGTCAGAACAGTAAGTAAAATTCAAAGGCTTTGGTGACATGTAATATATAGAACATATTGCATAATGCCCAGAGCCATAAAGAGCTGCCCCATCTCTGAAAAGGGAACTGGAGAATCTCTTTCCACTGAAACTGCAAAGAGAAAGGGAATGTTCTGTCTGTCCTTAACAATGGGTAGGAAACATTAATCATGAGAAAGTAGAAATCTGAAACTTGTGTCGTGCAATGATATAAAGCATGATATATTTTTCTTTAGATACAGAAATGCCAAGCAAAGTTTTCAACATAAAAACTGATTGAAAACTTGATAAACTGTTAAAGCTCAATACTGTTAAAGCTCCAACTGTTAATGCCCTAAAAAGACATTTTCATAATCCAAGAGAAAAGTAATTACGTGAGGAAGAGTCCACCAACATAATGGAAAGCAGGATAAGCTCTCCAAGGACTGAAAATTATCCACTTATATTTCATATTATACACCTAACAATAAAGTAGGAAAAGATATGCAACAAGAAATAACAGAGTTACAGGGAGAGTAGGGTTTTTTCATTTCCCTCTACTGGGAATGTTGGGTATTTTTTCTTCAAAAGTGAGAATAAGATAGATTTGTTTTCATGGTCGATAAATTTACTTTTGACAGATTAACTGAAATTTTTAGCCACCACAATAAGACAAAATAAATGAGATCTATATTAATTTTTAAAAAAACACATTTTTTCAATTTTTTAAACAAGGAGAAACTACAGCTATCAATTTAAAAAAGTGGTAAAACTTAGGCACTAGATAGGCTTACATTAAAAAGTTTATGAGAACATGTTAACTCACCTTTAAAAGAGTGCTAAAATAAGCTTTCTTTATAATAATTTATTAGTAAGAAATAAGAACAATGAATTAAATTTAGTATTTACTCCAGAAGCCAGGTAAAGCTTTGCTTGATATGATTTGGGGGGTATTATCTGGACTTTTACATACATAGATCTTACATATGTTCCCTTAATACTGTCTTTAAATTTTTAAGTGGTGGTTTTTAGAGAGGTTCCTATGGTAAATCATCTATTGTCAATTAAAAAATAGTTAATGAGTGTCTAATATGCTAGATTCTGAGTATTAGCTATATATATATATCTCTCTCTACTTATCTGAGTAATATATGCACACATACATACATGTATATGTTAGCTGCATAAAAGGACAACAGAAAGAACAATGTAGACTTAGTGTATTCTGGTAAGATAAAATAGAAAAACAAAGACAACTTTTAGAAAATATTTCAAGAGATTTACATAGCTTGAAGACAGTATGATGAATTTTGTGCAGCTAAATAGAGTAAGGATATGGATGTATACACCCAGACATTGCAAGTTGAAAGAATAAGCAGAACACAAGTGTCTATACACTGGGGAAGACTAGCCATATAATAAAGACTTGTCAAGATGAGCATAACAAATAGCATGGAGTACAAGGGGAGATGGAGAGGAGAAGGGAGTTGAGGGAAATTGGAAGGGGAGGTGAACCATGAGAGACTATGGACTCTGAAAAACAATCTGAGGGTTTTGAAGGGGCGGGGGGTGGGAGGTTGGGGGAACCAGGTGGTGGGTATTGGAGAGGGCACAGATTGCATGGAGCACTGGGTGTGGTGCAAAAACAATGAATACTGTTATGCTGAAAAGAAATAAAAAAAATTTATATGTATAGAAATAAAATTCTATAATATAAGAATTATAAAAACAACAACAAAAAAAAGAGAATGCAAAACCCCATTCCCCTTTCTCTCCCTTATCCCCATGGATGAATATCACTAAATGATATAGTACCCTATCCCTGTGATCTCTAAGATAGGCTCAGAATCTTTCTCAACTGTGTATTTCAGGTGAGCACTACCAATTGGTCACCAAGAATCCTGGTGTGAAACTATATTTGCCATCTAGAATTTAAGGAGATGGTGGAAAAAAAGAAACTTCTGTACAATAAAACACGAAGAGTGATAGGTATTAGCAACTAAAGTGATAAGAAATTTCTTGAAAGACAGAATGTTCAATAGTAAAGGTAGACAAGATGACCAGGAAGATGAAGAAAAGGTGTTCAACAGATTGGATAAGTAGGAGGATATTTATATTCCTGTCAAGAATAGTTTTAATGGGCTAGAGACAGGTAAACCAATGAGTAGTAGGTTGAGAAATGAATGGTAAATGAGAAGTGAAGAGAGTCTAATGTTGAATCTTTGAGGTATTTAGATTTTGGAGATAACAGGAGAACAAAAGAGCAAGTAACTGGAGGATAATTGTAGGATTCAGAAAAGCCATATCTCTCTTACTTTTTATTATGAAACAAGCTTGATCATTTGCATTTATCTCTACAAGATACTTTTGTTATTTTTATAAAGTATATTTTATCAGGTCTAAATTGATCATCTTAAGAACAAGGTCCTGATGGCACAGATGGAAAATCCATTTGTTAAAAGGAAAAAAAGACAATACGCCAGAGTAGGGAAATCCACTTTGTCTTCTCAGCCTTTCCCTAGAGAGAAAGGAGAGACACAATTTCCTTCTCCATCACATCTCTGGCTCTAGGGTGGTCCTTGATTACATTCAATGTATACATGGTTGTGACAACCATGAACATAGAAGAGCTGATAAAGTGTTGCTTTATTTGCAATATAATGGTTTCTGTGGAGCTTTAATAAGTTTTCTTTCATCAGCATAATAAATATGGACTAAAGAACACTTATCAGTTGGTTTAATATGTCAATGTACTGTAATATATTGTAATGTGAAAAGGGGATAAGGTAATGAAGAAAACCTTAAAGTAGTGCAAAGCTGAAGCATGTCCTTAGAAATGCTGTATCTATTTTTTAAAATTTTATATCAAATTACTATTATCAATATACTATTATTTTATATCAAAAATATAATTCTGTATAATTTGTCCAGATTTTTAGCTGACCAGAAAGAATGCCAAAAAGTTTTTTTTTCCCTTGGAAATATCTCATAGTGAGTGAAGTATTTTGTTGAGTTTTTATTCATCTCCTATTATTAATGAATGTTAACCTGATGTTTTATTTTCCAGTATCACAGGAATAATCATCCTCATAGTAAACTGAGGAACAGAATTTGGGGAATGGCCAATTTTGTCAACATGGTAAGATCTGATACAGTTTGAATGAAGCTAAAAATGCAAATGGAAGAATTACTTTTAAGATAGATAGCTGCTGGATCTTGTGGTAATTTCAATATTGAGACAGTCCAAAATACAGAAATTCGCCATGTGGACTAATTAGCCAAATCCAATTAAAAATTCACAGCAATAAATGAACCACAGCACTGAGGTTTGGTTTTCTAAGTAAATGACATTTAATATTTAAGGAGGTTTCAAATAATGGTTACTAATCACAAAATTTATAAAAATTTATTAAAAATTTATAAAGACTTGACTATTTACCATGCATAAATCAAATCAACTAATACATTTAAAATCACTGTTCCATAATCTAACATTGTTGGAGAACTTGTTTCTGCTTCACCGTGAACTTCAGGCCTTTATCAAGGGTGCCTGCTCAATGATCCTCACTCACATTCTTATCTCTTCTTCAGTAGTAATCTACTCTTGTTTGTTACTCAGTGATTGCTAGCCTAGTTATGGGACCCGGAGTATTTTGTTGCCCTGATCTATCCTGTATTATGAAAGTTCTGTCATGAATGGGTCTTTGGGTAGATTATTCTCACTGTGTTCTTCCTTCATTGGTAGGAGACATTGAATGTTCTGGCCTTAGGATAGCTTCCTGCCTCTCCTCCAGGGCCAGAAGGTTGTTTTTTTGTTTTGTTTTGTTTTGCTTTTGCTTTCCCTTCTTTCAGCAGCAATCAGTTTTCATTTGAGTTCTGGGAGCATTAAAAAAAATGCCCCGCTCTCAACAATTGATATGTCATCTAGACAGCTGATCAATAAACAGTGGTTTTGATCAACACTATAAACAAAATGAAGCCAACAGGTATATACAGAGTATTCCACCCAAGAGCAACAGAATACACCATTTATTTTCAAGAGCAGAAGGAATATTTCATAGTATATGTTATATAGACCACAAAACAAATCACAACAAATTAAAAAAGATGGAAATTATATCAAGTACAATGACAGCAAGAATACTGGAAAATTTATAAATATGTGGAAATTAAAGAACACATTCCCAAACAACAAATGGATCAAGGAATAAATGAAAGGTAAAATAAAAAAAAAATATCTTGATACTAACAAAAATGGAAACAAAACATATCAAAAGTTAGGAGATGCCGCAAAAGCAGTTCCAGGAGGAAATTTTATGGTTGTAAATGCGTACATACATCAATTAAAAAAAAATAGCAAGTAAACAACTAACGTTATACCTTAAGGAACTACAAAAAGAAAAATAAACTAAGCCACAGTTAGTACAAGGAAAGAAGTAATAATGAGATTAGAACAGAAAAAAAAAAAATAATTTGCTGAAGGCCATATAGAAGCTTAATGCTTTTGTATCTCCGGAGAACAAGAGTCTGGTAGATTTAAAGATGTTCCCAAAGCAACAGTTTCTCCCATCCTTCAGGCCTATACCACCAAGGGAGGTTATCTCCAATCTCCCACTCTGCTCTCCATGGTATCATGCGCATCCAGAATGGGAGATTGGAGATAACCTCCCTTTGTAAAATTCCTTATGTCTGTGTCTTTCAGAAGGTCCTACACTCTCATTTTATCCCATACTTACCCTTTAACAATTCCTTACAAATGTCTGGTGAATTCCTCTTTTGTTTTATACGATGATCAACATCTCTTTTTCTCATGCTTTGCCACTGGGAGATGCTCTAGTACCATTTCTCCCCAAAGGAGGCGCTCTTTCCTTAGATTTCAAGCTACTATTGGCCCTGTTACCTCAGCTAACTTACGCTTTTATATGATACAACTTTGTAGATTCTCTGGCTTTTTCTTTTTGTCAGGGTAGCAAAAACATTCTTTCCAACTTTACACATCTTAGCCAGAAGTAAAATTCTCTGAACTTTAAATTTGTGTCTATGGAAATTAAAAACCCTCCCCATATTATTCTAAAAAGTAGGAACAATGTGGAGTGGAATGATTATATCTCATAGTCATCTCTGTTTTCTCCTGTTTCTTTTTATTGATTGATTGATTGATAAAAGTTTTTGTAAGTTTATTCATGACTTGAGTCTGATCCTATTTTTCCAATAATTCTTGCAGTGTTTGTAACCATTTTTCCTCCTATCAAGGTTTTTAGGCATTTTTTCCTGTTTTATTGGGACATATAATGGACAAACACTGCTGTGTAGGTATAAGGCATACAGCATAATGGTTTGATTTACATAAATTGTGAAATGACTACCACAGTAGGTTCAGCTAACATCTATCTTCTCAAATAGATACTATGAAAAGAAAAACCCAAAAGAATAAAGAAAAAATAATTCCCCTTGTGATGAAAACTCTCAATATCAACTCTTATTAACAACTTTCCTACCCATCATACAGTACTGTTAGCTGTAGTCATCAGTTGTATATCTCTAGTACTTATTTATCTTATCACTGGAAGTTTGTACCTTTTGACCACCTTCCTCCAATTTCCCCCTCTCCACACTCAATCTGTGGTAACCACAAGTCTGATAATTTTTCCTATGAATTTGTTTTTTAAAAATTCCATATATAAGTGAGATCATATAGTGTTTGTCTTTATCTGTCTGACTTATTTCACTTAATGTAATATCCTCTAGGGTAATCTATGTTATCAAAAATGGTAGGATATCCTTGATTTTTTATGGCCAAATAATATTCCATCATATATACCTACTACAACTTCTTCCATTCATCCATTAATGGACACCTTGGCTGTATTCATGGTTTGATTATGTAATGATGCTTGCATAAATATAGGAGTGTAGATATCATTTTTAATTAGTGCTTTTATTTCATTTGATATGTTCCCAGAAGTGGAATTGCTGGATCATATAAATAGTTCTTTTTAAAAATTTTTGAAGATCTTCCATATTTTTTTCCATAGTGGCTTTACCAATTTACAGTCCCACCAACAGTGCACAAGGGTTCTCTTTTCTCTACATCCATACCAGCATTTGTTGTCTCTTGTCTTTTTAGTGATGGCCATTCTAACAAGCAGAGATGATGTCTTATTGTGATTTTAATTCACATTATCTTAATGACTAGTGATGTTGAAAATCTTATCATGCACTTGTTGGCCTTTCATGTATCTTTTTTGAAGAAATGTCTATTCAGTTACTTTACCCATTTTTTAATTTGAATTTTTTTTTTGCCATTGAGTTAATGAGTTGTTTATGTATATTGGATATTAACCCCTTATCAGATAATGGCTTGTGAATATTTTTCCCTATTCCATAAGTTCTCTTTACACGTTTTTATTGGCTTCTTTTGCTATGCAGAAGTTTTTGTTTGATGCAATCCCACTTGATTGTTTCTTATTTTATTGCTTGTGCTTTAGACATCATATCCAAATGTTCATTACCAAGGCCCATGTCAAGGAACTTTATTTCTATGATTTCTTCTAGGATTTTATGGTAAAACTCAGTTTAACTCTTCATTCCACTTTGATCCATTTTTCACTTATTCTCATCAAGGGTATTAGCCTGCAGTATTATTTTCTAATAATACCCTTTCCTGGTTTTGATATCAGGGTAATCCTGGCCTTGTAAAATTAGTTTGGGAATGTTTGCTCCTCTTTGAGTTTTTTTGGGAAGGTTTGAGAATGATTGATAGCAATTCCTTAAATGTTTGGTATAATTCACCAGTAAATCTATCTGGTCCTGTACTTTTCCTTATCATTAGGATATTGTGGATCACTGATTCAATCTCCTTACTAGTAATTGGTTTGTTCAGACCTGACCTTAAGACAAATGAAAATGGAAACACACATGAGTCTTTTATTTATTTCCTCTTTAATTTTTTCTTTGATCCATTGATGGAGTGTTATATAGAGTGTTATATAGTTTCCATGTGTTCATGAATTTTCCAGTTTTCATCTTGTTCCTGGTTTCTAGTTTCATGCCGTTATGTTCAGAAAAGATACTTGGTATGATTTTTTATCATTTTTGAATTTGCTAAGACTTGTTTTAAAACCTAACACATGGCCTACTCTAAAAAAATATTCTGTGTGTAAATAAGAATATGTATTCTGCTATTGTTGGGTAGAAAGTTCTATACATTTGTTAGGTCCTTTGGGTCTAGAGTATTGTTCAAATGCACTGTTTATTTATTGATTCTCTGTCTGGATGATCTATCCATTGTTTGGGGTAAAGTATTACTTTTTTTAAAATTTCTCCTTTCAGTTCTCTAGTTTTTGATTTGTATATTTGTGTTTTCCAGTATTGAGCGCATAAATATTTACAGTTAAGTCTTCTTGATGTATTGACACTTTTATCATTATGTAATGGTCTCTGTCTCTTTTTACCATTTTTCGTTTAAAATCTATTTTGATACATGTTTAATTACCCTCGCTTTTTTGGTGGGAATGAATGGGGTTATCATTTGGTAGAAATGATTTTTTCCATCCCTTTACTTTCAGTCTATGTGTGTCTTCGGGGCTTACATATTTTTTGTATGCTTTGCATTGTTAGATTTTGCTTTTTTAATCCCTTCACCCACCCTGTGTCTTTTGATTGGATGGTTTAATTTGTTCACATTTAAAGTAATTATTAGTAGGTAAAGACTTACTATTGCCATTTTCTGAATTGTTTTCTGGTTGTTTTACAGATCCATTGTTCCCTATTTCTTATCCTGCTCTCCTTTTTTTTTTTTTTTTTCGTATTTTGATGTCTCTGATATTGGTATCCTTTGACTTCTTTATTGTATTCCTTCATCTAATTATCAGAAAAATTTCCCTTGAAGTTATCATGAGGTTTACATAAAATATCAAACTTATCAGATCCTGATTTAAACTGATAACAATTTTTAACTTTAATAGAATTCATATATTTGACACTTTCTTTTCTCCTCACTATTGCGTTATTACATGCAGTTAAAATTTTACATTATTTACATTTTTTACATTATTGCAGTTAAAATTTACATTCTTTAATATTTTGTAACTAATAACATTGTACATATTGTATTTATGGGTTTTTTCCCTATGTTCATCTTTTTAAAGGATTTTATTTATTTATTTGACAGAGAGAGAGATGACAAGTAGGCAGAGAGGCAGGCAGAGAGAGAAGGAAAAGCAGGCTCCCTGCTGAGCAGAGAGCCTGATGCAGGGCTCCATCCCAGAACCCTGAAATCATGACCTGAACCCAAGGCAGAGGTTTAACCCACTGAGCCACACAGGCGCCCCACTATGTTCATTTTTGAACTTTTAAATTAGAGTTGTGAGTTATACACCACTATTACCAAATTGCAGAATCTAATGATCACTATATATTTACCATTACAAGTGAGATTAATATTACCATTTTGTGTTTTTTTAATGATGTTAATGAGCAATTTTTATTTCTATTCAAAGAGGGGATTTAACATTTCTCCTAAGGCAGGTCTAGTGGTAATGAACTCCCTTCCTCAGCTTTTGGTTGTTCAAGAAAATTTTTCTCTCTCTTTCATTTCTGAAGGACAGCTTTACCAGCCATTGTATTCTTGGTTGGCAGTTATTTTGATATTACACTATCTCTTTGCCTAAAAACTTTCTGTTGAGAAATCTGTCTATAGGGTGAAGGGATTAAAAAAGCAAAATCCAACAATCTCTTATATGTAATGCCTCTCTTTTCTCTGCTGCTCTTAAAATTCTTTCATCTTTGATTTTTGACAATTTAATTACAATGTATCTTAATGTAGCCCTATTAGGTTTAATCTATTTGTCTTTCAGACTTCATGGATCTAGATGTCTATTTCTTTCCCCAAGTTCAGGAAGTTTTTAGCCATTATTGCTTTAAATATACTTTCTGTCACTTTCTTTTTCTCTTCTCCTTCTAGAATCCTCATGGTATTTTTACACTGTGTCTCATAATTCCAGTAGGCTTTCTTCACTCTTTTTCATTCTTTTTTTCATTTTGCACCTCTCACTGGGTAATGTCTACTGTCTAATTCTTTCTCCCACATGGTCAAACTTCTCTTTTTGTTCATGAATTATATTCCCAATTTTATTTAGTTGTCTGTGTTTTCTTATAGTCTGCTAAACTTCCTTAGAGGATTATTCAAAATGGTGTCCCTGACAGTTTATAGATCTCTGTTTTTTTATGGTCAGTTATTGGAGCTTTATCAGTTTCCTTTCGTGGAGTAAAATTTACCTAATTTTTCATGATCCTTGATTATGAATTAGATTCTCTGCCCTTGTGCAGTGGGAGAAGCAGCTCTAAAACTGGAATATATCTTTGTTGTCTTAACTTAAGCTGAACTGCACCCCAAGGTCCCCAGCCAAACAGCATAGCTGGCTCTGGTCTGCAAATTATGGGTGATGTCTGCCTTTCTCTTGTGCCTTTCTTGAATTTTCTGGGCTGCACAGCTTTCAGGTGTTTTACCAACCTTCAGTCAGTTGGGACAAGCACCCACTCTTCACAGTGGGTGGGTTATGTCTCATCTTCCTTGCCTGGGTGGCTACTCCAGGCAACTCTCAATTTCCCAAACCAGGCTCTCCAGTTAGAAGGGACCAGAATCTACCCTCAGCCTTGGCTAAAAATTAGCCCCCCTGCCTCTGTGTATCTCAGAAAGCCTTCACCCTGGAATAGGTTTCTCCCTCTATCTGGACATGGAGTATTCCTGTTAAGTATTTCATTGGCCAAATAACATAAAGCTGAGAAGCAATTACTATTAATTTATATGGGAATGCTTTTGAGCCAAAAAACAAACAAACAAACAAACAAAAAACACAAAAAAACAACACAACTTCTCTTAGGCTTTTCTGGTACCTTGGAACACATCTTCCTAACAAATGCACAAAAGAAACTGAGATAAAGCACTGATGCTCACAGACACACTTCAAAGCTACAGTGGCTTGGTGCTTGACAGTGTCACCTACCTGGGGTGACACTACAATGGCTCTACAATGGTTCACCACAAAGCAAACATTGAGCATTAGTTTTGCTTTTTGCCCTCTCTCATAAAAGCAAAAATTCTCTTCAGATTTCTTTTGTTCAGTGAAAATGGATTCTAATGTTGGCCTTTTGTGAAAGCAAATGGCATAACACAAGCTGAAAAATTAAGGAATACCTGTATTGGCTTTTTTCTGAGAGTAATCAGCTCTATCCACTCAACTCTTGGCTCAAGCCACCATTGGTTCACACAGCTTTCAGGAATGTCATTAGCTCTTCTGGTCAGATAGAACCAGAAGACTCTCCCCACAATGGGTGGGGCTATGTCTCAGTTCTCTTGCCTGGACTACTCTGTCTTCAATCAGAAAGGACCAGGAGCTACTCTGGGCTTTGTGTGTGAATTAATCTCCCTACCTGTGTGTAGCATGGAAGGGCTCATGCCTGGTAACAGCTTTGTTCTGAGAGTGATCTGCTCTGCTCCTCTGCCTCTCAGCCCAAGCTCCTTTTATCCTGTTTCCTGTATTTTGTGATTGTCTTTACCACTACCCTAACACTGATACAAATATAAGACTCAGTCTTTCTCTTTGGGTTCCCATCACCAAAGTAAGCATAAATACAAAACTGGTGCAAATTACTGAACTTTTACTAAAGATATTCAGTTTAGATTGGGAAGTCATACCAATCCTTTATCCTCCACAGTGCCCACACTCATTATTTTAGTTCATCCTCTCTCATTTACTTTCACAATGTCTTTACCCCTTTATCTCGGAAAGTTCAGTTTTTTCTCTACTGTGAAGAGTGAATCAACTCTTCACAATCTCCCAAATATGTATATACAAACCCTTCCAAGCATTCCATAGATGCAGCATGGTTTTATTATGTTTTCACTAGAAGAGAGCACATTCATGGGATGATAAATGATAACTATTGTTTCCATTTGTACTTTCTCCAGTTTTATGGACCTAAAGCCCACCCATGAGTGGTAGAGACTCCAAGGAGACCAGGTTAAAACAAATATATTGTTCTGTGGTACCTGACATATAAGGTCTATTGCATGCTAAGGTCAGGGTTAAAAGGAATGGACATTACAGGCTCCAGTATGGATTTGAGATCATGGTTTAACTGAAGGTCTAACTTCATGATTCTTTAAAGGAAATCTAGTTCTCAGGTTTATGAAATGACTTTGTTGGGTTATTATGTTGACACATGAAATTCAGTATATTCATATTATGCAGGTTAAGAAAAGTAGAAAATTAACACAATGTTTTTATAGCCATGATGTATCACACTTCTTAATAACTGATTGAATCCTCTATTATTATTGTGTGAATGACTTCATCATTTCTGACCTTAACTCAGTGTTCATTCATTCTTTCAACCCACTTTTTACTGGCTGTTAGGAATTATAAAATTTATATAACATCTTTTGCCTCAAAATCTTCATATAATATTTGCTTCAACTCTGTCTTCTTTTGTGCTCGCATCAAGGTATCTACCAACTCAGTGTTTACAAAATGGGAATGAAGTGAGAAGGTTTACGAGCTATAGCTATTTGCGCCTGTTTTGAGCTATCTCCAAAAAGATTTCTCAGACAGCAAAGTAGTTCTAAAAAGTCCAACAAAATATGGCAGCTAGGCTATTGGTTTTTGAAAACCCATATCAACATTCTAATCTGCCATAGAACCAACTAATGACTAAAATAGAGAGATAAATAAAGAACATTCATCCCTCTGCATGCCACTACTAATAAATTCATGTCTTCTGGTCAGTTATAAACTGAGTTTTACTAAATTATTTATGCTAGACACATCTTGAGTCCAGTGTCTGTAAGGTTCATCATATTCAAAGAAAATCAAATATTTTTTAAGTTAAATTTTTTTGTTGGTTATGGCAATTTGCCCAGTATTCTGGGCAAGTTACACTATATTCTGTTTCAGTATAACCATTTGTAAAATAAGACCTGCATTTTTTGTTTATGTACCTCACTTGTTAAAATTACTTTTTTTTTATTATAGAGGAATATAATAATGGTGAAGGATCCTTCTGTATGTAGCTTGAGTCTATGAAAATTTATTTCTCCTTTGAACAGATTTATAAAACCTTGGACATTCATGTGACATTGGTTGGCCTTGAAATGTGGACAAATGGAGATAAAATAGACATAGATTCAAATATAGAAAATACCTTATTACGTTTTTCAACTTGGCAAGAAGTAATCCTGAAAAAGAGGAAAAATTATGATCATGTTATATTACTCAGGTATGTAAGTGCTCTATTTTCCTGCATACTTTAGGTGAATTATAAATAGATAATAAATAAACAAACAAACAAACAAATGAACAGCAACAAACTACTTTTTAAAACAATTTATTTTTGCATAGTATACAGTGACAAAATGTTATGTCCAGCTATACATAAAATTTCCAAATCAACTTTTAAATAATCTTTCTTTCCAATATTGATTAACACTAGAAAGTAAACATATGATACATTTACATTTCTGGTCAGGTTTTAAAATGTCACTAGATGAGAATGTACTTTTAGAATCAATTTATTTAACCAGCATTTAGCACTAACACCCTTAATTCTTCCATGCTGTGCCATTCCAATACTCCCTAAAATCTGTATTACTGGGAAAGCACCTTACTCTCTGGAAATTTTCCCTCAGTAAAGTGTCCCTATCCAATGAATAGTGCTTCAAGAGCATCTCCTCTACTATTCATGAGGGTGGATAACTAAACTGCCACAGCTTTAATATTCCTAGTAAATAAAGTTTTGGATTTATCTACAATATTAGGTCATTCCTAAGAAAGGGGGCCCATTTTTATCATTTTTCTAATTCAAAATAGCTACCACACTACTCAGCCTATTAGGAAATGATAAATAATTGTGCAGCTGAACTGACCTTAACTTTGTGTTAACCATTGTCCTGTTATCCTAATAAAAGTATGAAAGCACAACTTTGGAGTAATTGAGCTTTTGAGCATTTCTTCTGGTGCCCTTACGGCTACTATATAACAATGTTACCCACCCTATCTACTTCATCTTCCTGTAATAGTGGTGCTTCTCCTATGGTCTGCAAACATGGCCTACAAATGTGCTTCTTAACATTATCTAAATGTTAACTTTCAATTTGAACTCAGAACTGTGAACCTTCCAAAGCCTACAGCTGGAAGTCAGGTCCAGCTCTCTGGCAGATTGATGAGAGTGAACCACACCTCTAAAGTAATATCACTTCTGATTTTTATCACTGAGATGGCCCACAGCACTTATCTCCAGGGAGATACTTGTACCTATCACCATAGCATTCATTGTGCACGAGATTAACCTCTTTGCCTATTTCTTGGACCTGTGTTTTAAAATAATAAATTAGTCTGGAAATATCACATGGTTATAAGCAAAAAGCTTTTTACTTTCATGAACGTCTCTTATTCTGAGCAACAGCTTCTCACAGCAATAGTATGTCTGCAAATAAGGAAATGAGAAAAGTGCTCCTAAATATCTAATTGCACATCATATTTGGGACTTATGCATTGAGTTCCTTGAATGTCTTCTCATCTATATTCACATAGCACTAGAAGTGATAATATATATGGCATTCTCATGTTGTGATTTTTGTTTCTAAGTAACCATGAGCAAGTTCAGAATCTAGATTGTGTTTGCTCTGATGCTTCATCTCCATAAGTGGTATTTTTCTAAGATCTCCAGAGACTAGGAAGACCAGAGGTCTAAATACTTCCAAGATACATAGCCAAACACTGAGACTAAAAATGTAGGACATTTCAATAGTAAAGAAATAAATAGAACACACCTTTTTGATCAAAAAAGCTAAAGATTGAAAGGGGTCATGTAGCCCGACCACTTTTCTCATATTTGAATCTTCTTAATTATACATGTTCCAAGTGTGGTCTTCCAACTCATAATCACTCTTTAAAGTGGTCCAACTCTAAATGTTCTTGAAAGCATATCAAGTCTGGATTCCCTTAATATACATATCTACATCTGTCTTTTTAGGTAATCCAAGAATATTCCATATGACAACTCTTTTAAATGTTTGATTATTGTTATCTAATCCTCTGTGAGTTTCTATGTTTGATTAAAATTTTAAAAAATTTTTTAACTATAGCTAATTAATCATAATATGAGTCCATTTACTATGTTGTATTTTTCTCTCCAAACACTTTTTTAACTTAATTATTTGATCTTTTAAGTGGTTTTATCCAAAGCTGAGTGTAGGATAAGCCCTGTAAAATTGAACTCCCATTTTATTATTTTTTTTGAAAGTACATTTTTTATGATTTCAACTTTAGATTGTACTGACTTTTTCAATACCTCTAATATACTACAAATTTTAAATAAGCTTAATAACAACTAAGATCATCCTCAATTCTAGAACTCTAAGGAAAAAAAAGGCACTTTTATGTGCAAAGGCACTAGCATTGTGAGGATTCATTGTGATCCAATCTTTGTGTTAATTAAACCACTGCCTCAGACTGAAGAGTGTATTTGCATCTTGTTTATAGTGGGAAATGGCTCTACATACATGCACAAGGAACTTCTTATTCAGAGGGTATATGCCTGCCCTATTATTCCTCCAGTGTTGTTAAGGTAGGCTGGGTTGTATTTGTTATGTAACTTAATCACAAAGTTTGAAGTTAATTTCTATAAATTTTGTGTCCTATTGAAGGGGACTAAGGTCACCTGGGTGGTTCAGTTGGTTCAGCATCCAACTCTTGATCTCAGTTCAGGTCTTGATCTCAGGGTCATGAGTTCAAGCTGCATGTTGGGCTCTGCTGTGGGGGTGGAGCCTACAAAAAGAGAAAGAAAGAAAGGAAGAAGGAAAGAAAGGAAGAAAGAGAGAGAAAGAGAAAAGGAAAGATCATGTATGAATTCTGCCATATATCCCCACCAATATATACTATGATGAAATTGTTGTTTCCTTTATTAAATAGGAAAATAACAGTTTTATAAAAACTATAGATGAAAAATGAAGGTAAACCAGTCTGTTCAGAGCTTTAAAAATCATATACAAATTGACATACAAAGATTAGAAAAGTTTTTTGCATACTATATATATTCACTATTATCATTATCATTATCATATCAAAACAACCTTGTGATTCATTTTCAGTAAGAGTAAGATGTTCAAACTGCTGACTTATCTATTTTATCTGGTATCTTTCCCAAATCACTAAGTTTCTAGTAGCTGCTGTCCAAGTAGTCTTATCTAAGTCTTATTAAGACCTTGAAATTAAAAGCTTGTAAATCATCTATTCATTACATTGTTCCTTTTATGACTATGCCTTTGATCATGGTATTTTATTAACACAAATTTTGCATAGTGGAGTCTATCTAATCTAGTATAGGCTATTGCCACTCCAATTATGACATTACAACCCATCCAGAACACATTTTAAACTTCAAATGAGTAAGATGAAATAACCAAGTTAGGGGAATTTTACCTTCATAGTAATCTAGTATCCCACCCCTTTTTGGAAATTAACTTTTTTGTACTTACTATAGGGGCTAAAACATGAAATAGATCTACAGAGAGTGGGAACAATCAACTCTGCCTTGGATTTCAAATCACCGAACTTCCGGTTTTCTTAGTAGTAGAAACTTCCTCCTCATGATTACATTACATACTGTTAGGCAGTGTGAGACTGTAGTCTGAAAACATGAACCTCACACATTTTTTATTTTTACCATCTTTGAATATCTGGCATATAAAAGGCAAATCAATAATGTTTATTTATTAGGACATTAGTTTATAATTTTTAATTATAATTTTTAGCTATTTGTAAGAATGAGCTTATAGAAATCCAGCAATGATTATTACTGTGCCACAAAAAAGAATATCAAAGGGACGCCTGGGTGGCTCAGTTGGTTAAGCAGCTGCCTTCGGCTCAGGTCATGATCCCGGCGTCCTGGGATCGAGTCCCACATCGGGCTCCTTGTTCTGTGGGGAGCCTGCTTCTCCCTCTGCCTCTGCCTGCCACTCTGTCTGCCTGTGCTCACTCTCTCTCTCTCTGACAAATAAATAAAAATAAAAAAAAATCTTTAAAAAAAATAAATAAAATTAAAAAAAAAAGAATATCAAAATGTTAGAGACACTCAAAGGTCATTTTTCCAACCTCATTATATAATTAAAGGAACTGAGGGCAGGACAGGGAGGTAACAAAGGCCATGGCCTCTAAAACAAGTACTGGTTAACCGAAGCTAGAAACCAGGTCTCAACAAATAGTTCAAAACACTATGTGCTAAAGTGCATTAACCTATAGAAATTTGTAATACACATCTTTTTTTGGCCCCAGGATCTTTTGCCTGACCTACATGTAGTTGCAAGCAGAATTGCACATCAGCTGGGTCATAACCTTGGGATGAAGCATGATGATTACCCATGTACCTGTAATTTTGAGAGATGTGTGATGGATCATGGTGGAAGGTAAGGTTCAAACAATGTAGAAAGTACATTTAAATATTTTGTGTGTCACTCTTAGTTAGAACTCCATATTGTAGGGATATATAGATATTATGTAAACAATTTCTAATATATTCCATAAGGTCTATTACAAAACCAGCCATGATAGGCTGTTTCCCTTCGGGGCTAAATCTTAACAGTTGGTAGTGTTGGTCCTAGTGACTCTAAAATTCCATCTAAGCATACTGCAAAAATATACAACAATTAATTGGTAAATTATACTAAGGTGCCTAGGAGAAGAATACACTCTATGTGCCTTGTTTTATCATCTTTGCTATAAATTCTAATTTATTCCTTCAAATCTTTACTCAGATGTCTTTCTCAGCCAAGCCTTCCCCAGCCACTTGATCTAATTTTTCAATCCTGTCTCTAATCCTTTCTTCTTTGTTTTTTTTTCCCCATTCTTAGTATTAATCTCTACCTAATATAGTCTGTGCATTACCTACTTAGCTTGCTTATTATGTTATTCCTCCAACAAAATATAAACTTCATGAGGTCAGGTTTTGTCTGCATTCTACACTGTTTTATCAAACTGTCTAGAAAAGTCCCAGACACATACTAGGTACTGTATAAATAATTGTAGAATGAATGAATGTCCTATATCCTCCCATCATACTGTGAATTACCACAACCAGCTCCTAAACTTTACACATTTTTTGAAGTCCTTCACAGAGAGCACATCATGTATTTCATATAAGAAAAGTGTTTATGATGATGATCAGCATTTCAATATATTAATTAAATGAGGTAAAATAGTGAAAGTACCCAAGTACAGTGCCTGCCATAAAGTAATAACTAATAACTGATATCTAATTTTATATCATCATCTATACAATTAGTATTATTTTTCAGGGCCCCCTCATTCCAAAGTAATGTTTTTAAGCCTCTAAAATTCCATCCGTGTCCGTTATGTACCAATAATGGCAAGGGAGTCAAAACAAAAGAAAGACAGAAGGGAGGTAAATTTCAGTCTTTTTAGTATTTGCACTTTTCAGAAGGATAATTCATTCCTAGGATGTGTAAGGTATTACTAAATAAATCATTTGTTTCAACAATGTTTATAGAGTATGACTTTGTGCCAGGCCCTGTGTTAATTAGTGCTTATTTAAAAAAAAAAATGCAGTCCCTGCATTGAGAAGCTTGTAATCTTGCATAAATGATAAACAAATGCATAGATTATGTCAAGAGGAACAAATAGAAAGTGATCTAGGAGCAGCAAACACATTCAGTCTAAACTGTGGGCTTCAGGAAGGACTTTCTGGACGATGTATAGTTGTAGTATGTTCACAGGATATCGTGTGTTGGCTGTTTTAATAAAACATTTTCTATAATAAAAGCCCACTTGCTACTCTCCTATAACAGTAAAGCAAACTAGGAGAAGTAAATGGACTTTTAGAGTTCATCATTTATATTTATTCTTTCTGAATCCTTCATTAAAGTTTCATAGCTGTTCCACCACTATGCATTGATAAAATTAATCTTTATTTTTAATTCATTTAAACTCTAGCATTCCTGCACTAAAATTCAGTAAATGCAACAGAATTCAGTATCTTCGACACCTGAAGGATTATAATCCAACATGCATGTTCAACATTCCATTTTCTGATAAATTAAATAATTACCCATATTGTGGAAACAAGAAGTTGGATGAAGGAGAAGAGTGCGATTGTGGCCCTGTTCAGGTATTTGCAAATAATGTCTTTAAATTACAAAGTTTCTACTCAGCTAGAACCTAGGCAGCTAGAACCTAGGTGACCATTAATCAACCAAGATAGTCCTTGTAAAGTTTTAAATAATGTGTTTTTTGTCTCATTTCAAAGCAGGTCATTGGTGTAGCCTCAATGCAAGACATCTTACCAAGTCATGAATAGTGTATAATGATCTTGCTGGAGACCCACCGTATCACATTTGCCTGGTTTATATAGTAATCAGCCCTTCTTGTAAGAAAGACCCGTAGGTGCCTTTAAGTCTGATCTCATGCACAGTAGGAATTTGTTTTCCACAGTTAATCGAGCTTACTCTGTGCCTTATGAGGCTGGTCTGTATCCCCAGCTGGACAGTTCATCTTACTAGAAAACTCTTGTCTTAATTAAGCATGAACCATTCTAACCTTCTACATATTTATTGGAGCTTTGGTCTCTGGAACATTTAGAATATGCCTTTAAGAAAAATTTTAGAGTAATTCTTAATCTGCTTTCCTCCAACATCGAAGCTATTTCTGTTAAGAGCTTATCCTACAGGTATGAGTCTTAGACAATCACTTCTCAAATTTTCATGTGTATATACATCACCAGGGGATGTTAAAATGTGAATTCTGATTCTGTAGGCCTGAAGTGAGGCTGAGATCCTTTATTTCCAGCAACCTGAAAGGATATGTTGATACTGTTGGTCGGAAAACCACATATGTAGTATGTACACTGTAGACACTACAAAATTCAAAACAACTCTAATAGTAAGTGAATCAGAGATTCCATGATCAAAGTGGGAACAGTGACATGTAACGAGGTTGCAACACCTAGTTTTCAAATGTCTTATATTGAATGCAAAGAGGCTCTTAACTTTGGAAATTGAGGCTTTAGCTTATGCACATTCTTTAGAGAATATTTTTACAGTCTCATTCTAACACACAAAATACCTTACGTTATAATTTGCAGACAGTTTCTTTTGCAATTTTAGTTTTGTTTAAGCATATAGGGCCTATGTGTCCATCCTGCTGTTACTATTTAATGATGTATTAAAAACAACAACAAAGTTCAACTTGAAATACTCAGATTCTTGAGGAAAATGTAAAATTAGATCTTCAGAAGTTGTATTGTCTCTATTAAACCCTTAGTATAGAGAAGTAGCAGGGCCCTTCCAAAGAATGGAAGTCATCAAGAAAATGGAAGGTCAGAAACTTGGACCTTGTAAGCTGCTGATGAAAATTCATTAGTGTGGAGTACTGAACAGCCAACTGGGAAGAAAACAAAATAGGGGTATCTGGGTACCTCAGTCGGTTAAGCCTCCAACTCTTGATTTTGACTCAGATCATGATCTCAAGGTTCTGGGACAGAGCCCTGCATTGGGCTCCATGCTCAGCAGTAAGTATGCTTGAGATTGTCTCCCTCTCCCTCGACCCCTCTCCCTGCTCACAGGCACACGTGCTTTCTCTGTCTTGCTCTCTCAAATAAAAAAATAAATATTTAATAAATAAATAAATGTCCCAAAGACCAGTTACAAGCAGTAGTCTTCATATGCATGTCATAGCCAAGGATCATGCATTTGGATTTAACTCTGAAAGACAAGTAATGATAAATTATACAGAACCATAACTTATTAAACAAGACCTTAACTACAAACCAATTTCTGATCTTTAATTTTTGATTATTGCCAGGTGTGCACCAATCCTTGCTGTGATGCAAACAAATGTGTGTTGAAGCCAGGATTTAGTTGTGCAGAAGGAGAATGCTGTGAAGCTTGTCAGGTAAGGACCTGTGCCAGGACTGGGTTCTCCGTTTTCAGTTTATTAAGTGTACATAGGGCGACAGAATTGGCTGTCCACTGAATTACCCTACATTACTAATCCCAGGTTAGGGTTAGGCATGCTTGTCCCCAACAAAGCCTCTTCTGAGTTGTTCTGACTTCTGACTGGGTCATGCTGTGGCCTAGGGAGTAGAGAAGCAGGTATCACTTGGTCGTTTAGGACTAGTTATATGATAAACATTATTCTTGTTTCTTTGTAAATAACTGCTAATCTATTTAACCTCAGCTCATGTGTGGTGATGGTGGAAGAGGTAGCATTCCAACAATAGTGAACTAGAAGGGGAAAGGATTATACTGGTATTGGAGAGTGAGAGTGACTAGTACATGGAGATATATTCCTAGGAAAGGCAATTAGAAATCCAAATGACTCTGTCCAAAGTTTTAATGACTTTTCTTTCAGCATACTATATTGTGAACCCACAAAGGAAAGGAAGTATGTCTTATTCATTTTCAAATCTTTCTAGGACTCATTACAGTTAAATGCATATTGAGTGGCTGAATAAGAAAGTATTTCCATGCACTTTCCTCCAGCAATGAGTCAGGGTATTTTTCCAGTTCATTTGGAGAGATGTGATTTCTTGGGAGTGGAGATTCCTCATTATAGTTGGAGAGGGATTCCCAGTGATATGAGTGTGCTGGAGATGGTATGTACCACCTCCAAGATAAACAGAACTCTTGCTCTTTTCTCCATTTTATGTCCTTTCAGCTCTGTCCAATGCTGTTCTAATACAGATTTTAAAAAACACTGTCGTGTCATTCCTAAAATTACATAAAAGTCAACACATTTACAAATGATTATAATTCTCAGTGGAATGGATTAGAAACTCATGATCCAACCTTAAAACCTTTTTTTTAAAATATAAATTAAATGGGTCAAACTTACTCCTACTTAACTGAAACTTAACCTACCGAAATATGCTCAAGATTTATTAGTCTTTTTACTTTTCTTCAACAGATGAAAAAATCAGGGTCCATATGCAGACCAGCAAAAGATGAATGTGATTTTCCTGAAGTATGTACTGGCTACTCTTCTGCATGTCCTAACGACAAATTCCAAGTAAATGGATTTCCTTGCAAGAACACAAAAGGCTACTGCTTCATGGGGAAATGTCCCACCCGGGATGATCAGTGCTCTCAATTTTTTGATAATGGTGAGAGACAATTACAGTGAATGGCTGATAAACATAAGAGCTATAATTTCTGTTATTATCCTGTAGAAATTTGGGGGCAAGATTGAAGATAATGTCATTTGTGGCATTCTTCCCATATTTTACCTAGAATCTCTCTGAATATTACCTTTAATATTAGTTGCTATTACCTCTAATATTAATTAACTAGCTCAATATGTGGGTTAAAGTATGTTTGTTACATTTTTATATCCATACACCTCTGTAAAATATCTTTCTGATACAAAAGGATAAGTTTAAAGTGATTTACTTATCTCATTCTGCCTTACCACCACATGAAAATAAAATTTCAATTAGAAATATAAAAAGTGTTATGATTTATAACATTCAAGTTTTTATTATTTTACTTCAATCATTCCATTTTGGATCCTAGAGGTGAAAGACAGTTCTGATCTCTGCTATGAGATGAATAAAAAAGGAAATAGATTTGGATACTGCAAAAACAAGGAAAACAGATTAATTCCCTGTGAAGAGAAGTAAGTGCCATGTAAAGAAAAGTAAGTGCCTTCTAAGAGTGTTTTTGCAAAATCAGAACTCTCTTGTTCTGACAGCTGCTAATCTCTTTTTACTGAGGAGGTTAGGAGAAGGGGGAGTAAGGGAGTAAGCACATATCCCTGATTGTGTAACTGGCACATTTATGAGTTAAAGGCCATGAGATATAAGGAGGAAAAATGGGAAAGAGTTAAAATCCTTAGGAAAGAAAGGGAGGAAGAGAAGCTACAAAAAATAGGAAAGAGCAGACAGGAGGAGGAAAATAGAGTGGAAAGAAAGAAAAGAACAGAGAGAAGGAAATAAGTGAAGCCATAAAAAGAAAGAAAAGTAGAAGTTGAAATTGGAAGGGAGAAGTGGAAATTCGATCTGATTTTAGAAAGTATTATCTGTGTCATTCTTCCAGATTTGTTATACTCAGAAAAGCTTTTTTTTTTTTTTTTTTTTCCCTGTGCCACAAAACAGGATTTGGACTAAAAACAACAACAGAAACCTTTGGTCAAGTTCAACTTTGTTCCTAAATACCCTAGGTGAAACTGGGAAGTCAGTTAACTTCCTCTTACTTCCAGTTGTTGCCTAATCTGTAAAATGGGTATTATAATAATATCAAACTCACGGGTTTTTTGTGAGAATTAACTGATGTGCTCTGTGAAAGAAAGAAGAAGAAAGAAATCTTAACATCTTGATGAAAGTTAGATGAATTGAAATTACTAATAAGAAATATTCTCCTGTAAATTTGAGCTAATATTGATTTGTGGGAATCACAAAACTATAAAAAAATGCAATCATTTTACATGTCCCAGAGTCAGGACAAAAAAAAAAAAAAAAAAAAAAAAAAATTCTTTTTTTTTTTCACACTTTAAAAACTTTATTTATATAAAAAAATCATTTGTTTTTAAAAGCATTAACAAGAGAGAAAGAAAAACAGAAAAGGTATGGAGCAGAAGACATGCCCCTTAGTAGTGTTCGGTGGGAGGTGGGATTTTTTGTTCTCTGGAATTGAATGTTTAGTGTTTTTATAAACAAAAAAGAAAAAAAAAGTTAAAGGTCCCCAAAGCCTATGGCTGTTCTATTACCCACACCCCACCGAGAAAAAGAGCACCAGGAAAAGAGCAGAAGAGGAGAAGAGAAACCAAGAGTGGAGCCAGGTCCAGATGGGGGCAATTTCCCCTGTGCAGTATGTTCTTAGGGTCAAAGAGGGGAAAAGGCTCCTTTTTGCCAGAAAAGGAGTGGGAAGAAAAGGGGGGGGGGTGGTAAATAAGGGATTTTAATGTATAGGGGAAGGGAAGGGGGGTAGTGGGTTGTGCACTTTTCTCTTACCCCATAGCCTCAATTTATAAGGGGAGGGGGGAGAGAGAAGGATAAAGATTTCCAGTTGCATTGAACAGAGCTTTTAGATTAAGGGGAGGAATAAAAGGCAAAAAAGTAGAAGGGTTAAAAAAAAAAAAAAAAAACCCCAAAAAAAAACAACCAGCGTAGCAGCTGATTCCTCTAACCCAACCCACTAATGAACACTGAACTG